ACAAGTAATATAAGACATGGAAGAGAAGCTCTCAATGATGTTCAAGTAGAATATTACTTTACTGTAGTAGTTTGTTACAAAGTTAATAAAAGAGCAAAGATTATATTTTATTTAAAATACAATATCAATAATACAAGACTATCTATTAGTTTCTGTGCTAAAAGAATTCTAATATTAAAGAGATTGTAGAAGTCAAATCTAATTTAAAGCAAAAGAAAAAGAGAGAGTTTATATAGCTTTTTTAGAAAAAGTTGAAAAAGTAAAAAAAGTAAAAAGGTAATTTGTTCTAAAATTGTTTCTAAAATAACTCTATAACTATATATTTGTTTTATATGATTTATAGCTCATTAGAAAGGTCTTATTGAGCTAGATCTAATAGTCTAATTTAAAACTAACTTTAACTATTTAGTTTATTGAGAAATCAATATTAAATAAAATATATTCAAAAAATTAACTGTATAAAATACTAATAATAAATAAAATAATAATAAAATAAAATAGATAAAACTTATTTTATAACAATAGTAAAATTTACAAGATATATTAACTTAGATATCTTATAAAAGTAAAATAATATGATATAAAGTTATAGTAAATTTATAATATAATATAATGATTATAGATAATCTTCTAATAGATTTCAAGTATAGTTACTAGTATAGAATTTTTAAGCAAACTATTTAAATTAAATAATCTAAAATTATATATATGACTAGTTATATTTTTAAAAAAGTATTGCTAATTTTAACTAGAAAGATTTTTCCTATATAATATTAGCTAATAAATTTGCAAGATCAGGTATAATATATTATATAACAAAAACAAAGAAATTTTTAAAAAATACTAATATCTTAAAATTTCATCTATATAACTACTTTTTGGGTTCTAATAAAAAAAATTTTTTGCTAAATTTTGCATATACTAATGCCTAGATAAAATTTCAGACTATACTTTAATTCTAAAATAAAAGAAAAGTATTTTTTTAAAGAAAATTTCTAACCTTACACTATGTGTACATACACGTATCACGTAATTACACAAATACTAAACAAATATTCGTGTAACCAAATCCCTTCGGGTTACTTAGACTTAGTTTCATAGAAGAATTAAAGCTCTGATCAAAAACTATATCGATATGTAGATAATTGATGCATGATGTAATCTTAAATAATAATAAATACGAAAGTGATCAAAACAATGATTTGATTTCTTTCACCTTCAACATAACATTGTAAATTGATTTCTTTCGCTTGTGACATTAAACCTGATAATTATTCGTTGTAAAGGTTTTATTAGTTAAAAGGATATCATCAAACAAGTACCATAAACATATATGTCTATATGGATCCAGAAAGTTTCGATTGTACAAATGTAATATTCTTTACAAGAGCACATACTAGACGTTACCTAAAGTCTTTTATTGCGCAATACTAAAAGTTTTATATTTTTACAGTATACCGTGTTGCCAGAACTTACACTACTTTTGGAGCCAGACAATATAGTAAATGCCATGGAAGTATGTACCTATATAGATCCAGAACGTTTCATTTGTATAAACTTAATCGCATGTTACAAGAGTTATTTAAAGACTTTTATTGTTTACTGCTAAAGCGTTATAATTTTATATTTACAATGTTCAGGACCATCTCAAGACCTTATGCTCACACTATCTCCAGAGCCAGCTGATATAGAAAGTGCCACAGATGTATGCACAAACGCATGTTGCAAAAGTTATTTAAAAGACTTTTATTGCTCACCACTAAAACTTAATAATTTCATATTCTTCATAGTATTTATTTTTACCGGGACCGTTACAAGACTCTATGCTCAAACTACCTCTGGAGCTAGCCGAAATAAATTCACTGCCTAATTTTTCTCCACCCTTAGTAAGATCGATTTTATAACACCTTGTGTTTGTTTGTGTTTGTTACTTTTTTTGGACTTTTAATAATGCTTCTGAATGATCAGTAGACCAATTTTAGTAATGATTGTCAATCTTCTATCGATACCGGGCAAAGTTTTCTAGAAGAAAATGTTAACAGTGAATTTGTAACAGAGATTTATAGTGAAGATTCAGAGGATGAGGATTAAAGTGATATTTCGGAGCTGAGTGTAAGGCTTACTTTTACAAACTTGTCAGAGTTTAAAGCTTGGATAGATAATTATTCTGTGAAAAAAGGGATTTAATTATAAGGTTAGGACTAGTCAAAAGGAAGGCGAAGTAATTCGACGGGCCACTTATGAGTGTTCAAGATCAGGCGTACATATCCCACAGGTGACTTGTGATCCTACAAAACGGCGAAATGCATTCATACAACGGACTGAGTGTCCCTGGCGGCTTAATATTTCCTGCCCCCAAAACAAGTAATATACTAAAAATCAATTCATTTGTGAACAGCCATAACCATGAACTTACAGCAACAATACGTGAAACAGCTTCAAGGTTTAGAAAATTGACACCAGAAATGTTATCTGACATAGAAAAATATGTAATACAAGGCAGAATGGATTCTAGTTCTATTTATCCTTTACTCATCCATGACTATCCAAATAATCCTATCTTTAAAAAAGACCTATATAATGTAGTATATAAATTTCGGGCCAAAAATAACCTAGGTGACTCGAACACATCTCAAATGCTCCAAATGTTGTTAAATTGGAAGGAATCGGATCCTTTATGGGTAGTCAAACCATATATAGAGCCTTTATCCAGAAGGCTAAATAGGTTATTGTGGATATCACCAACATAACGGTCTTTATACGATAATTTCCATGACGTTGTTATTATTGATACTACATCAGGCACAAATCGCTTTCAAATGTTGCTATGTGTCATTATTATTATTGATAATCATTTTAAATCAAGAATTGTTGCTTCTGCTATTATTGATGACGAAACTCTGAATACTTTTCAGTGGATTTTTACTACATTATTTGAAGAAACGAACGTCAGTCCTAAAGTTATATTCACTGATTCTGATCCATCCATGATCAGTGCAATTAAGGAAGTGTATCCTAATACTAACCATTTGTTATGTATTTTCTATATTGACATGAATCTTCGTAAGAAACTTAAATACAAATTGAAATCTCGTTTTGAAGAATTTCGACAAAAATTTTATATTTGTCGAAATTCTTTATGCAGTGAGTTGTTTGAAGCTAGATGGCGTAATTTGGTCGACCAGTATACTGAAGCAACTAAATATTTAACAGAGACACTTTATATTAATAAAGAGTCTTGGGGTATACCTTGGATACGTAATGAATTTACAGCAGATGCTCAAAGCATACAGAGAATAGAATCAATCAACAAACAAATACATGATAGGGTCGATCGGGCTACTTCTCTGTGTGATTTGTTAGTCAATCTTAATGAATATGTTAAAAATGAAGAACATTTTGAAAGATTTGAAGTCGAACGCAGCGTATTGCCGACAGTTGGATTACCATCTTTAAATACTAGGCTTTTTGGACAGGTAGACGATGTAATTAAAAAGTTTTTAACATCTATCATGCTGGCAAAGCAGCGCTTGCAGATGAATCAATCTGTCTGTTATGACGCTACTCATATTGTAGAATGGCAAAATTTGGTAAAAATTTATATATTTTTTTCTTCATTTGATATAGATATCTGTGCTTAAACAATGTTGTTCAACTTCCAGTTGGATAGGCCATCTAACCTACATCACACAGCATATTTATATTTTGTTATTGAATTTCCTCGCTATGTGATGTTGGTTAAATAGCATGTCAGGGAGATGGTCATCTAGAAATTTATATATAACCGTGCCTAAATAGTTTGTTTTGTTATAGGCTGATGATGATAATGAAGAAGTTGATATTAGGCTTCGAGAGCAAGAGCAAGATGTTCGTCAAGTTCTTTTCAAATCGCTTATCAAAAATATTAATCATGAGGAAATTTTAGAAGTATGGAATATTCGCGCTACTGGAAGAACAGGCATTGGGAACTATATAATAATCCTAAATGATGGTACACATCTGTGTACATGCCTATTATTACTGAACAAAGGGTTATTATGCCGACACTTTTTTCGTGTTTTCACTTATTCACAGGCTGCTACATTTCATATAGTTCTTATTCCATTTCGGTAGTATCTGGAACCAAGTATAAGTCGAGAAAGTCTTCTACAACAAACATCGACTATTCAAATGCACTATGCAGTCAGACCAGAAGGAGGTCTACCTAATATTACATTCAATCATTTTTTCTCTGTTCAGTCAGCTTCACATAACAATGACTCTCATTTAATAACAAAATCTAATAAAGCTGTATATGCGGAGTTGTTCGGATTGTCTAAGAAGGCAATTGATTTAGCTATCAAGTATAATATGTCACAGGATCTATTAGATACTCTTAAATCATTTCTATATGATATGCAAAACAAAGATCAACAAACAAACGATAACGATACTCAAATTGGTATTGTTCATAATCCCAATATCACCAAGCATAAAGGCCAGCCACCCAAAAGATTAAAATCTAGCGTCGAACATATATTTTTCAAATGCGAACAGGTGCTAAAAATCAATACAACTATTAATACAACTAATAATAATGAAAATTTAAATGTGATGGAAAGCGGTGATAATGAACACATGAATTATGCAAAAAGTCATATGTGTGGAAAGTGCAAGCAATATGGTCATTACGCCAAAACATGTCAGGCATAGATTTGTTAAGCTTCTTTGTTATTAGTGTGCTTGGATTTGTATAGTTTGTTATAAATAATGTAGATAGGGCAAAATGAAATTGTATGGTATATTTCAACTTAAGATTTGGCGTTAGTAAACTTTAGAATGCAATTATGTTTTGCTTTATTTTGGTTGTTTCAACTATTTTATCTCATATTGTGATCGAATCATAAAACAATATTTTTGAAGATGTTTTAGTTTGGGCGAGTATACATATGTTATTATTTTTCTTAGTTTACTGTAATGGTGAAAATTTAAGGATATGCATTATATGAATTGATTAAAGTATTAGCGTCCAAAGAAGTTTCGAGAAAAGCATATTCAAAATGAAAGAGTTGTCATATATACATGTATATTCGTACTGATATGCATAAATTATTCAATCATATGATATTTGTTTATTGTTACATGATTTATTTTATTGTAGTCTATATAAATTATATGTAGTCACGTGATGTGTGTATGTACACATAGTGTACAAATAGAAATCGTCTTTTTTAAAATATGATTTATTATTGTAATAACTCAATATCTCTACAACAACTACTTAATGATGTTAACAAACTACTACAGTAAAGTAATATTCTACTTGAACATCATTGAGAGCTTCTCTTCCATGTCTTATATTACTTGT